ATGGAGCCAAACGAGTGTGTTTATATGTGGACTCACCTACACAGCACACCCCTTGTTGTTACAGTATCAAAGGCACCAAAGAATTTGATTTCCTTGAAAATGAGTATTCTCTTGTTCATGAACTTTGTAAAAATTGTATCATACACTATGCAGACTTCCAGATCCTATTTTCTTAAAAAAAAAGTCAAGATTATCCTCCTAAGAGTCGCTCATGGTATTACATGGAGCTGAAGTTATTTCATTTCACCAGTGTAACGTACAATTACGACTATTTGTTTTCACACTGATGACATTTGAAGCTTTTTGGGTTGGATGGGGTAATTGGTTCACAGGAGTTCATTATATTATTGTATTGAGTAACATAACTTCTGCATATACCAAACACGGTATTTAAAAGGCAACATTCTCTGAGTTGGGATGGTGTTTAAAATCCACCTTGGGGAAAACGAAATTAGACCGTTAAACCCAGCTTTTACCACAGATTCGATTTTAGTTTGAGTCAAGTTGTGTCCTTGACATAACTACACATTTTTAACTCATGTAAGAACACAACTTACAAGCACTGATTTTAGGGAAGTGCTGCGGTTACTGCTCTGACAGCCCCTCCCACTGGGCCTTTGCAGTGATCTTGCCAGCAGGTGGTGCCCTAGGACCGCTGTGTTTCATGACTGCAGCCTGATGAGTACTACACCATGTCTCCGGAAGGGCAAATTTAAGAAACAAATGTAAAGAAAAGGTCAGTCAGTTGATTAGAAGGAAAAACAACCCTCTATGCAGATAACTTCATTTATTCACTGACTATGGTAATGATTGATTGTGCATTTTATGTGCATTATTTACACATTCCCAACCTTCACTCAGCAGCCTGATGTCAGATTCTTTTATAAGACCTGGTTTTTACCACTCTCTTCTCTACAATGCATTCATCTGCAAAAGAAATTGACTTTTGAACTTATTCTTCTTGGAGCACCTTCTGTGCTTAGTGTTGTCTGAGCCTGGACTGGCTCCCTATATTGAAAACGAAGAGTCTGTTTCCCAGAGATCTTTAGGTGTAAGAAAAACACCCAGGGGTGTTTGGCCTCCAGCAGGAAGATGTCCTGGGTGACCTCTTATCACAGTTCCAGCCCTTCCATTATCCACCTCCCTTTCTGTTCCTCCTTCCCCCCCCACTGCCACTTGTGTTTCTTCCTGATCTTCCTTCTCTCTCCTTAGCTCATCATGAAGGACTTTCTCCGTAACAGACTTATCTGAACTCCTCTGCCACTCCCACTGTCATTTTTGTCAAAAATAAATGACATATCAGTATTCACCTTTGTTTCTGTCTATGCCACAATTAACATCAGCAATAGAAAAAAAAAGGGAGGAGGAGTTATCTGAAAAAAACACATCTTTTTTGCTCCTAGGGGTCCAACATGTATTAAATTCCAAATTGTCTTAATGAGGCAGAAAGGGCTTTGATGAATTTTTTTATGGTAAAGTATACATGATGTAAAATGTACCATTTTGGCCATTTTTAAGTGTACAGCTTAGTGACATTAAGTACATTCACGTTGCTGTGCAGCCATCACCACCATCCATCTCTAGAACTTTTTCATCTTCTCAAACTGAAATGCTGTCTCATTCCACCCCCCCGCCCCACCTTCTGGCAACCACCATTCTACTTTCTGCTTCTATGAATTTGATTACTCTAGGAACTTTATATAAGTGGAATTATACAGTATTTGTCTTTTGTAAGTGGCTTATTTCCTCTAGCATAATGTCTTCAAGGTTCGCTTTGATGAACTCTTTATATTAACATTTATTGATAACATACGGTGTTCTAGAGCTGTGCTGAATGCTTCACATGGGTTGTCCCATTTAACAAATTGTGAGGTAGGAGCTTGTTCTGTGGCAGTTTAACAGACAGCGAGACCAAGGCTTAAGAAGGTTAAGTCACTTAGACACACGGAGGCACTAAGTGCAGGTGGCCTGGAACCCACTCCTGCTCGCCTCCCCACAGCCACACCCACCCCTGCGGCTACCTGGGCTCCTTCTGCCAGAGCTTCATCTCTCTTTGGCTCAGTCCTCAGCCAATGAAAGGGGTCTGGTAACAGCAAGAGTATATGAGTTCCAGCTCCCAATTTGCCTCAAATTAAAAATGTATATGTAGGAAAGCAATTTGTCTTTCTGGTATCTTATTGAGAAAATACTTCTGCATGAGCTCCATTCATGAAATGTTAACATCTGTAGTTGAAGGGAGCAGACGCATGAAATGTTTCAACTAAAAAAATGAAATAAAAATTTGTGCCTATTTAAGAATTTTCTCTACGTACTGCTAAAAATCTATCTTAAAAGAAAAATTATAATAAAGTCATATATACTATATTCAGCAACCAGAACATAAGAATCATATCTTTTATGGGCAAACACAAATTATGAGGCTACATCTATATATAAATTAACTTTAAAAACATCAGCTTTATTGATATGTAATTCGTATAGTATAGAATTCACCTAGTTATAGTGTACAATTCAATAACTTAGCTTTTTGCTTGGATGAAAATTGCCTTACCTTCTGACCACCTTACATTTGTTTGAATGATTTGATTGGTGAGAGTCAAAATGGGACAAGTGAAGCTCCAGTGTGCTTCTGTAGCACAGGTTGCCGAGTTCCATTGTAGTGATCTGTTTGGCTTTTTTGTGGATGTTGTTTCTATATCCATCTATTTAATTCCTCAACCTTTTGTGTCTTAAAGGTTCATATGTTAGTAGATTATTTGGAGTTCCATTATTATGCAATAGATATAACAAAATAAAAGGAGGTTAGGTCTCCAGTCTCTGCCAGAAATGCAATAATATCAGTAGCTGGGCCCTTCCCCCCACGTGCACCAGCATTTCCACGAGCTGAAGGAGTTTCTGTTTGCAAATTCAGATGTCTATCTCCTGATGCTCTCAGAGGAACTGAGAACCCCCAGGCTCCCAGCCCAGGGCAGGAGCACTCTGGCTGGGGGGAGCCTCTCACCGTGCAGAGGTAAGAGAAGGAAGTGGTAAGGGGTCACGCAAAACGCGCGGGGGACGAAGAGCAGTGGAGCCAGGACCCTCTTCTTCCTCAGCTTCTGCTCCACCTTCTTTTCCATTCGCTCGGAACCCGGGGCGGAAGGTGAGAATTAGGCTGGGGAGCGTGGACAAACCAATCGTGGGCCCCTAGACAGCCCACACCTTCCCTTTTCCCACAGTCTTGTTCTGACGTGCGGAGGCTGCCCGCGCGTCAGCACTAGAACGCCCCGCGGCCGAGGGCGGTGGTGGAGCGAGACGGGGAAGAAATGGATATCGGGCTGTCAAATGGGTCTGCGGCAAACTTGCAGGGACAAGGGAAAGACTGTGTGCCTCTGGTGGCAGAAGGGAAAAGAGAAAATTCCGTGGTTGCTCCCACGGGGAGGGTGTGCACGGGAAATGTTATGTTTGCCAGCACCTACAGAGTGCTATGCAACAGGCACCGTGTAAAGCACTTTGGTATACTAATTCACTTAATCTTTGCAAAAATCCCATAAGGTAAATACTATTATTATCCCCATTTTACAGACAAAGAAGCCAGGTTCAGAAAAGTTCAATGACTTGCCGATGTCAGATGGTAGGTGGCAGAGCCAGGGTCAGAACTCTCTCGGGTCCCTGCACTCTGCACCGTGCCGTGTGCCTGAAACTGCACACACACGACAGGGTCTGGTGTGTTTTCACATATACAAGCTACATGACATGTAAGTGTTAATCGTATAGATCTTCCTTCATATTTGAAGACAAGGCCAGTAATGGTGGTACTTCTGGCCCCCGATTTACCCTCTCTGAAAAGCAAACTTCATCGCCTTCTTTTCAAGGGATGGGGGCTCGGTCAGTCAGTCACTCATGACCCTTTGGCCCAGGTAGTCAGGGTGACACCCCAGCTGGGAAACGCCTACAGACAGAGTTAGGATAAAATCTGTGGCTGCTGATAGGTTGTCACGGGCACTATTATCACCTGCCTCTCACAGACCACGGGGCAAGTGTGACTGATTTATTAACGCTAATGAGGCTGCTCTCTCACTGAATTTTGGTTCAGATGGAAGCAAACGCGTAGCTAGTACGACTATTGGAAATATGTTTGCATTTTTAGTTCTAAAGGGAAATAGCAGCAATATCTTTATTTTTAAATTCTGACCTCTCCTTTTCTTTGACTTTATCTTCTACAGTATTTTTGTTTTGAGTATATGTGAAAGATAGTAGGGTGAGAAATTTAATCTATGTGGTCATTTGGTCTACTAATTCACCCCACGGTGTTCACTATGGGCCTACCGTGGGCACGCTGCTAGGCACTCAGGACGTGGAAGCAAACAAGACACACTGTGTCTAGGCTCATGGAATAAGTCAGGCTGAAAGATAATATGCAGATAAATAAATACAATAAGCAAGGTGATTTCAGATAGGGAAAGACATATTCAGGAAGGAAACACATAATAGTGTTGGAGAGACAACTGAGAGTGGGGCAGAATTATTCTTCAGATGAGGCATCCTGTTTAGTGAACATTTATTAAGTACATACTGTGCTATGCGTTTGAGATGCAGAGAAAGAGTGAGACATACCGCCTGTCCTCGACAGCAGCAACAACAGATGGGAAATCAAGTTCTGAGTGCGTTGACTTTTATGCTCCGCTTTTGAGTTGTTGGAGAAAACTTCCCTGGGATAACGCTGACATTAAGACAATAATAACACCAAAAGTATATCTGGCTTGAATGTTGAGTGAAATACAGCCCCTACCGGCTTTGATAATGGGTTTGATTGGAAACGTTTACAGTGCAGAGATCTCGCTCCCTGGATTTGGACCTTAAGCCTGTGTTTGTTCATTACACAAGTATTCTGGGTCTGCTTCTCCCAGAGGCATTTTAAAACATGCCAAGCTGCTGTTGCATAAAAAACAAGCTTGGGTGTTCAGCAAATATAACCTGGTGAGCAGACCCGGTGTCACTCACTCACCGAGAGGGGAGCCGGCGTCTGCTGCCTCTGTTGAATACAAGCAATGGACATGGAGAAGGTCAACTCTATGGACTTTGGAGAATTTGTGGATGTGTTTGGGAATGTCATTGAGAGATGTCCTCTGATTGCAGCCGCTGTCTGGTCCCAGAGGCCGTTTTCTGACTTGGAAGATTTAGAGAAGCACTTTTTCGCGTTGATTGATGCTCTTCCGCAGTCAGGTGAGGCTCCAGTATTAGACACTGGGATTCTCTGCAGAGGGATTCCAAACATGCTTATCAAAATATTTTGAGACATGTTAGCCTGCTTGCTTATAACTGATACATTTATTTAGCTATTTTTATCGTAAGGTTCAGTAGTTTCCTCAGACTTAGTAAACGAGAGTCAAGCACTTACAAGGTGTTAAGCCAAAAGTGGAATGGAAGAACGTATATTGGCTCAGGTCAAGTGGCTGTTAAATATTAAAGCTATGAGGTCACGAGGGCAGAGGAACAGGCGCTGGTCTCCTCGGGCCTCACAGCAGCTCGGAGGCCAAAGGGCAGGCTGAGGGCCCGCCCTCTCTCAGCTGAGTGTGTTCACTTTGGGAATGTCCTGTATGCAAGAGAGGAGACAGCTCGATATCAGAATATCTCAGGAGCCCAGGGGAAAGCAGAAATGGCTGACATTTTTACCAGAAAGGGCCAGTGTGGACCAGAATGCTGAGGAAAGTAAACTCATTCAGATCAGGGACTCCCTGGGGGAGTTTGAGGGAAAAGACGAAAATCCGAAGGAATTCCTCTGGAGAAAGGGAAAGAAATTGTTGATTTCCTCTGGGTAGACAGAGAAAAGGAGGCGCTTCTGGATGTGGGGTGGGAGAGGTGGAGGTGGAGGCTGCCTCCTGGGCCGTCCTCATACTCTTCAGAGAAGCCTCGACGGAGCTGAAGGGACACAGGGTGGGGCCGCCTTCTCAAAGGGCCTTCTACAGGGATCTGGGGCCGGAGGGAGAACTGCCCCTCTCTTCTCTTCCATAATGAGGCCAACACATAGATGTCTTGCTTTGAATCCAGGGCTTTGACATCAGGATGGTTTCTGATTGTCAGATGAACGTGTCCCAAATAAGGATCTCATTTTAGGCACCTCTAGGAAGAGTGGAGGACGGTGTTATAAAAGCAAACTGACAGAAATGTGGGGGCCACGTTAACACTCGCTCACTTCTCAGGGCCTCCAGCTTGGCTGGGCTCTGCCACAGGGGCAGCTGGCAGACCCGAGCCTTCTGACTGACGACTCACAGGCACAGCCAGCCCCTGCTCCACGAGGGAGGCGTCTCAGGCTGCCAGCCCAAAGCCTGCAGAGCAAGCTGGAGCCAGCAAGAGGCCCGGGAGCCCGTGGTCAAAATGTCTGACAGGAAAATGGAAGAGGCCCAATGGAAGCCTGCTAAGCCAGAGGGGAAATAATTGTTAAAGGGTGTGAATGCCTTCTGAATGACATTTTTCTCTATGGGATGAGGGGGGAGGAAAATCCCATGATCTGTCTCAATCCCCAAAGGGGTGGTGGGGCTGGGGAGGGAATATATTGAGAGAAAGCTATGACAGCATGGATAATTTAAACCTAGCATTCATTGGTTTATCTAGTTATTCAACAAACATTTATTTGGGGTTACTCCATGCCAGGAACTTAGATAATAAAATAAAAATTTCCCTATTTCTGTCTTTCCCACCAGCAGTCGCCCCAACAAGTTTGACCAGAAGTTCTAGTTAAAGTTGGTTAAGGCCTAGTTAAGGTTAAATCCAATCACAGTCCTGAGCAAAGTGGGATTTGGGGCAGGATAGGCTTGTATTTGATCCCCCTCCAAACTTGATGGAACCTTTGTGTTCTGGCCAGTGTCAGAATCCTACGTTACTCAGGGAATAGAATATTGGGACTTAATAAAGGTTTGCTTAATGAATGAATTTGTTCCTTAGATGACTTTGAAAGATGACAGATCCTGGTATTACCCCTTCCCCACACATTTTAACTGGGGTGACTTTAGTGGCAGGTATGTGGGACAAAATGACTGGAGAGAGTTCGGGCCACCTGCACAGTTGTTTGCTTCTGAGCTAGGCACACTTCTCTGAAGGGGCCTCCCTGCTGGTAGGGCCTGCTTCTCAGCCCTATGCTGGTGTCCATGCTTCTCTTAGACAGGCAGCTGGGAGCAGAGCCTCACCGCTGTCTGAGGGGTTGTTCCATAGCTAATCACTTTAATGACATTAGCTAGGTGATGTTAGCAATAGGAATAATGATAACAGTAGCTAAAATGTATTTAACCCTTACTGTTGGTGTGTTTGAGGCACTTTTCCAAACACTTTGCATTTGTTAACTCATTTAATCCTCATAATAATCCTATAAAACAAGCATTGTCATTATTATCTCCATTTTACAGATGAGGAAACTGAGGACCAGAGAGATTTAAGTAACTTGATCAGGGATACACAGCTAGAAAGTGGCAGAACTGGGATTCAAACCCTGATAGTCAACGCAACAGCTTTTGAAGGATTTTCCAGAGAATTAGAAGTAAAGTCTAGAAACAACTTCTAGGGGTTTCATTTATTCATTTGCTAATTTATTCAGTTAACATTAATGCTTGATGTCCCAGATCCTATGTTTGGTTGTTTAAGTAATCAAATAAAATGGCATTTACTGCATAGTCTAACTTTGCTCCTTGGATAGTAAAGAACAAACTGGGTGTAATGGAGCCTTTGAATCCTGAAAGTAAAAAGTTCCTAAAACTTAAAGAGCTGTTCAGGATGTGGGTATGGATTTGTTTTGAACGATGATCTAAGAAAACCCTCTACCATTAACAGAAAACTGAAAATCCTGTTTCTAGAGGAAACCTAGGCAGAGGATCCATGTTGGTTATGCCATGATGACCATTGGCCAGTAGGTGGCAGTCCAGGATTAACATTCAGCTCCTGCACTGCTTGGCAAAGAGCCCTTTCCAGACAATTAGTTCCTGGTTTCCAGGCAAGGGGAGTGGCACTAGTAAAAGCAAGAAGGTTGAAACACACCCCACACACATACACACACCACACACACACACACACCACACGCATACACCAAACACACACACACGCCACTCACCACACACACACCCACACACACCCACCCACCCACACACACACACATACACACACACGGCCAACAACAAACCAATTCAGCACTGACGTGTTAAAAATAAAAGAGCAAAAGAACTGTCATAACGGAGTTAATCATGCATCCCGTTGTGGCATTTCAGAATGGCAATAACGCCATAATTCATTATTTAATACTTATTTCAGAACATAGTTGTTGAATAAATGAATGAGTTAGGTACTAATAATTCCCTTAAATGCAGGCTATAATGTATTTAGATGAGGCTATTAAAATGTGTTTAGTCAAAAATATATCACCCTCCTTCCCAAGAGTGACGTGTTGGTCAGTAAATACCTATCGATTGCCCACTCTACTCCAGGAACTGTCCTGGGCACTGGGGATAGAGCAGCGAACAAGCCAAGTCCCTGACTTCAAGGAGTTTACATTCTAGTGAAGGCAGACAGGATTAACTTAAATAAATAAGATAATTTCAGATTTTAGAAACTATTAGAAGAAAATAGGTAATATTGTAGAAAATATGTAATAAAAGCAGTCTTTCTTAGTAAGTGACATTTGAGTTTAAAACCAAAAGAGGAGAAGGAAGTAGTCAAAGATCTAGCAGAAGGCCACTCTAAGAAAAGGAAACTGAGACTTTGGACATTTTAGAGGCACAGAAAGACCAAGGTGGTTGGAGAATAGTGAAGAGTGGAAGGATACGAACAAAGAGAGGTCGGGAGAGTGGTGGTTGTAGTAGTAACAGAGAGAAGTGATGGTCGTTTGGACAAATGTTGGAGCAGGAGAGACGCGGAGATGTGGCTGGATTCTCAAAATAGATTTTAGAGTTAGAGCTAACAGGTTTTTTTGATGGATTTGTTGGGGGAAGGCAAGTCAGAAACAAAGAGAAATTAAGGATAACTCCTAAGTTTTTAGTCTGAGCAACTGGGTGGGTGGTGGTGCTGTTTTCTACAATGAGGAAGACTTTAGAATTGAGAGGACAGGAACGAGAATGGGGGCTCATTAAGGCTGAGATGCCTAATAATCATCCAAGTGAAAGTATTGAGCGTTCAGCTGTTTCTTCATAACGAAGGAACTCAGTGGAAAGCTGTGGGCTAGACTAGACCATGGTGTCATCAAAGAATTGATGACATTTAAAGCCATGGGACTAGAGGAGAACACTTAGGGCATCAGTGTAAATACAGAAGGGAAGAGATGTGAGTATTGAATCCTAGGGTACTTCAGTGTTAGTGATCTGGCAAAGCAAGAACCATGATGAAAGCAGGGAAGCTTTGCTAATCTTCCAAGGAGAGGGGGCCAACCATGTGACATGCTCCCAAGAGATTGAGAGAGGAGGATGGAGCACCGGTTACTGGGCTTGGGCAAAATGTCCATCGTCTCTGACCTTGAGGAGCACAGATTGGTTGGTGGGTGAGGCTGAAAGCTTGATAGAGTGAAGCTGGAATGGGAGGTGAGGAAGGGAGACACTGGGTAGACAACTCCTTTGAGGAGTTTTCCTGTAGGGAGGAGCGGAGACAAAGGGAGACACTAGAGGACAATAGGGAATTAAGGGAGGGTGTGAATTTTGTTTACGGGATGAGTAATTCTAAGGTACATTTGTGGGTTGATGAAGATAAGCAGTGGTGGGGGAGAGAAATTTGAAATTGTGGTCTTTGAGATGGAAAGGGGCTGGCTTCAAGAACACATGTGGAGAGCTTGGTCTTCGACAGGAGGGACAGATGATCCATTGTACCAGAAGCACACTAGTTGGTACAGATGTAGGGACACTGGTGGACTGTAATGGGGTTCTAGGCCAATTGTCTGCTCTTCAGTGGCCACCATTGCCTGCCCTGTTCTTCTCCTATTGAATCGAGTGTCAGCTCTGTGCCGGGAACTCTTCTGGGTGCAAAGATTCATGACTTGTGGTGGCAGCAAATAATGTCCACACATATCTCTAGATGGGACATGCCAATGGCACAGGCAGTAGCTCTAAGATTTTAGGAAAGACTGAAGAACAGGCAGCATTGAAATGGCCCTGGGAATCATGGGATGTCTGACCTGGCCAGCGCTTGGGCATTTCAGGTGGGAGGACCCAACAAGACTGGAGGCGGGGAGGTGGGAAGTCCGCCCGAAGACTCCAGCCTCCTGCGAGGGTTTAAGGGCAGGCTGGGAGTGCCTTTTGGAAGCAGCACTGGATGGGGAACTAGGGCTTTGCTGCAGGCCAGTGGGGCCGGGTCAGCGTCACCCTGGGCAGTACTGAAGGGGGCAGTGGTTTGGGGCAATAAAGATAGAGTCTTTGGCTGGATGGGATCAGGTTCTATTGCTTCCCTCCACCAGGCTCCCTGCACCTTTTTCTTTTTATCTGCAGCTGAGGGTGTGTGTGAGCGCGTGTGCGTGTGTGTTTAAATTCCAGTTCCTCTGTTTTAGTCTCTTTTCTTCTCTTTGCTCTGCCCTTTCCTCGGCCTCCCTTCTTTCCCTTTACCTCTCTCCTCCCCGCACACAGTGGAAAACACACGCTCAATCCTAGGCAAACATTAACCCCAGGCGATGTTTTCAAGAGGGGAGACAAACTCAGGGGAGTGAGAACTGAGCGGCAAGGGCAAGAAGGAAAGAGGCAGGTCTGGGGCGCAGGGAGCCCAGTGGGGCGGTAGGGGGGCAGACGTACCCCGCGCTAGGGTCTCCCACCGGTAACTACTTCCTTCCAAGCTCGTGCTGGGCCTCTAGAGAGTCAGAAATTGGGCGAAGGGAAGCCGAGAGAGAGGGAATCCTGTGAGAAGACTGAGTCTCGGCCCCCCTCGCCTCGAGGCTGCTTTGAAAATCCGAGTACGCAAAGTAGGGAGCTCCGGCGGTCCTCCCAGGTCCGGACCGAAGGGCGGTCCGGGACTCGCGTTGCTCCCACTCCCCAGCCGCGGTCGTTCGCGGGGCTCAGGGCTGAGTGGGCGCGGGGCGGATTCGGGCGCGGCTCCGCGTCAGGCCTGGCAAGCGGCCGCTCGGCACAGCCAACCCCCGGCCCAGGGCTGGGGGGCCCCCTGCGAGGGAATTTCACACCCACCACCTACATTTTCGCACCACCCGGGCAGGGCTGGACGCAGGAAACGGGAAAGAACCACCTCATGTTTGTAGTGCCCCGGGGACAGGGCCCATGAGACTGGTTTTGAAACAGTGGTGTTACAGAGATGGGATTATTGGTGACACGAGTTTCGTTTTAAACTCCCTTTAACTTTGTAGGAGCAGCCAGCGCCTGTGATTTGGAGTCCAGGATCCAGGCACAGTCAGCTGTTGGCTAAGTGACCTTGCACAGGTCACCTAATCCTTTCTGAGCCTCCATTGAATCCTCTCAGATGTTCTGCCCAGTTCTCCCTACTTCTCAGGACACTGGTCTATGGGTTACATGGCACAATCCCAATCATCCTTTGAGTAAGGGGAGGCTTATACCACAATTAGAGGGGGTTTTAAATTATCCCCCCCAACAGAGCCCAATGCCTATTCCCAGCCTCGGAGTCAGATGCTTCCAGCCGCACCCACTCCAGTTACACAGAGTTTACTGCAACTAATAATAAAGGCTGTTTATTGAAGATTTGCTAGCATTAGGCGCTGTGTTTTAGGTAACTGAATTGTCTCTGATCCTCACAACTACTCAAGGAGTCAGGTGTCACTGCCCTGGGTGCACGGATTATGGCTCCCTGCTTACCATATCTATCTTGCCCAGCCTGAGGATCTTCTTTTCTCTTTAGGGAGAAGCAGAATGATTGGCCAGGGCTCAGGGAAACCCTGGATTAGGATATTTACAAGCCCAGGGATGATGCCAGGGGTTCCAATTTTAGGCCTAGGAGATTATGAGACGCTATCTTCAAAGAAAACATTCTCTGCGGTCTCTTAGGGACCTACAGTCGGAGGAGGGGAATGAACCTCAGACAGGACGGGTGATGAGTGTGTGCTATTTTCCTGAAAGGGGGAAAGCCACTTTCATTCAGAGGGCTGTGGAATTCCGGCTGGAAATGGGCTTCTTTGCAGTTAATCATCTGCAAGTCTCTTTGGATGCCTGATTCCAGAAGCCCAGAATTCACACTTAGGGTCACAAAATCCTGGGCATTTATTTGTCAAGCACCATGGATGTTATGCCTATGGGCTCTCCCGCCTCTTCTCCTTTGGAACAGAACGAAACCCATTCCGTGGCTTTTGCAGGAAGTCTTCAGGCCCTTGCGTCCGGCACTCTTTGACATCAAAGCCCCTCTGAGAGCAAAGGACTTTGAAAAGATAGAAATGCTCGGGCTTCTTATCGCGTCCCAGCTCCCTCCCGAGCAAGTCGTAAATTCCGAGCCTCAGCGGCCTCTCCCCTCCGCTCTTCTTGCCCCAAGGTCTCAAAGGACAAACTTGTCACTTCCCGCCCCGCCCCTGGGTCCTGGCCGAGGCCGAATGAAGCCGGGACCGAGGGGCGCAAGGTTCGGGACGTGTTTGAGAGGCGGGTGCAATGGGCGCCCCAGCGCCTCCAGGAGACCCCTTGTTGCCCCTCATCACCTCCTGGGGACCCTGCTTCCTGCTCGAAGCTGTCTTTGGGGCGGGGCAGGAGGCCGGGCTCGGCCTGCGCGCAGCCCTCTGCGCCCTGTCCGCGGAGGGGAGCAGGCGCGGTAACCCGCTCCCGCCGTGTGTCTGTGCTTCTCCGCAGGCCAAGAGGGCATCCTGCGCTGCCACCCGGACCTGGCGGGCCGCGAGCTGCAGCGGGGCACGCTCACAGCCGAGTCGCAGCGGGAGCAGAGCGGCGCGGGCCTGACGAGCCTGGGCGCGGACGAGCGGCTCCGGCTGGCCGAGCTCAACGCGCAGTACCGCGCGCGCTTCGGCTTCCCCTTCGTGCTCGCCGCACGCCTCACCGACCCGGCTGCGATGCCGCGCGAGCTAGCTCGCAGGCTGCACTGCCCGCCCGCGCAGGAGCTGCGCACCGCCCTCGGCGAGGTGAAGAAGATCGGCCACTTGCGTCTCGCGGACCTCCTCTGCGTGGACCCCTCGGGGCCGTAGCGGCTGCGCGAGCCTGGGCCCGGGACGCACGTCGGGATGCGCGGGGGCCGCGGTCCGGTGCTGTGCGCCCGGGGCTGGAGGTTGTCGCAAGCCTGGAACAGCGTCCACACAATCGCACAAACGAAGGGGAGAATTGAGGCAATCATACGAATAACGAGCCCTTTTGTTCACCCACCCACACGTGCACGCTTTGCCAAAATATCTATATAGTTTCGTGCTTTGCCCCCGATTTATCCAGCTCACTGCTTCAATTCTTCACTCACTTTGCAGCCCGTTGACACTACCAGCCTTTGTGGATTCCAAAGCGCTTATCCAGGCTTGTTGGCTCCCCACCCTCTCCTGCTAAGCCTGAGTTGCAAAGCAAAGCGGACGGAAAAGGAATCTTTTATTTCACAGCGGTTTGCCTATTTTTCTTCTCCCACCTCATTTGCTGCACCCGCCATCTACATGTGAGCGGAAGCGGCTTTCTCACTCGGGGGCTTCTACAGGAGCCGAGCGACGAAAGCAAAGCGCTGGTCTTGGGCCGCGGCGCCGGGGAAGCCGCGTGTGGGGGACGGTGGGCCGGACAGAGCCCCAGGATGGGCCAGCGTTGGGAAGCGCCCCGTGGGGGCAGGCAGAGTAGCTGCTACAGGTGCTCCGAAGAGACGGGTGGGCGTGGGGGCGTCTCCAAGTTGGACCAGCCTGAAGTCAGGGGCGGCGGCCTCCCGTCTCTCCCAGAGGTCGGTCCATGAGAGTTGGCTCCTCAGAACCTCAGACTGCCCCGGGAAACCCATCAGTTATTTAAAAAATAAAAAATAATGCTCATTGAGTAGTGCTGGATATTGTAGCCCCCGGGGGATGAAAATGGGACCCCATTTCATGGGACCCGCTGTTAAAGCGGGTAATGAAGGAAAGTCGGTGCCCATAGAAATCTTTTGGGCTAGAGTAGGCCGGCTCTGGGGAGCTTGTCAACCCTGGGGCTCCAGAACCTTAGTGGACTGGGCAGCTCCCTGCCCTGGTGGCCAGAATGTCCCCTCATCCAGGAGGAGCCCATCACATTCTCTCTCAGCCACATAGACTGGAAAGTCTAGGACCCAACAGATACGACTTAGGCTTCTGTTGGCAAAGGAGAAACAAGCCATTCGTTGTCTCCTCAGTGCAGAGTAAGAGGTGAAGACAGAGCTGGCCCTTTTGAAGACAAGAACCTCCATTAGTGACCAACCTGGGTCTGGGTTAGCAGCAGCAACAGCAGCAAGAAAACCTTTCAGTGAAAAGCTGTGTGGTCGCCCCTTGGCTGGGGGCTGAATTCCATAGAAAGAAGCCACTGTGGCAGCACCAGGAATTTTAATCAAGGAACTTCGCTTCTCTTTCCCTTCTTACAGGTGTTCCCTGCTAGTGGTAAGGGTGAAGGCCAGAAGCTGGGTGGGGGGAGGTAGGTGGGAGTGCCAGGGAGATGAGCTGTGGCCACCAGAGTCCCTGTAGACCGCAGCCAGGGCCTCCTCTGCCTGGGCCTGGGCCAGATGCCTTCTCTGGGTGTAGGAGCACCAGGTGCAAGCCACAAAGGGAGCTCGATGACTCAATTTCTGTGCTCTGGAACCCCGAGGCAATGGTGGGGCCCTTGGGCCTGGAGCTAGACGCCTGTCTCCCTCTAGTCAGGGTAACTTGGGGGCTTTCCTGACACACAAGAAACCTGCTGCTTGGTAAAGAGGGTGTTCTGGCCCAGGATACAAGTGCCACAGGCTGGGTGGGAGACTCAGAATAATGCACTATATTCAAGGCACCCTGTCCAACCCTGGAGTGAGTCCAGGTCTTAGACAGATGGGCCACAAAATGCAGAGTCTGGGCTCTTTATGTAAATGTGCTCAACCTAGGAAATGTGCTCAATCGGCAGGAATCCCCAGGGCGAAGAATCTCGGCGGTATTTTTAGGAGTGTAGATGTGATCTGGACGTCTCCAATTACGCAGTTACATTTCAACGGTTCAAAGCGTGTCGGGGAAATTGTTTATTTCTGCAGGTGAGGGTACGGGTGGGGGAAGACGCTGGGTCCGCCCCTTCAAAGGAGCTGGGGGGTGAGGGGAGAGGAAGAGCTGGTTGCGCAGCGCCTGTTCCGTAGATGCCTGAGCACTTGCAGCCGCGAGGCCGGGCGCGGGACGTGGACGCCAGGCTGGGAGGGGCCCTGGCAAAAGCTGCTGGTTCTTGCTTTCTTCTTCGGTAGCCAAGAAGCGGAGGCCGTTCCTCGCGCCGGAGGCTCACCTGTGGCTGCCGAGGTCTGGCAAGGCAGATTTCTCCGGCCACATTTTGGCTCAAATAGCGACACGCCCTGGGCTTCTGCCAGCCTCGGCCTGGCGGAGACGTTTTCTCGTTTCCACGCGCCAGTGCGCAGGATGCGGGAGACAAACCCCGACAACAGGGACCGCGGCCGCCGAGTTGGACCTCAGCGTGCGCACCAGCCCCGGCGGCGGGGTGGCCCGGAGGGCGCCCAGCGAGCGTCGGGGCGCGCAGAATTGGTTGGTGCAGGTTCCAGGGTGAATAATTAATACTTTGCTTACTAATTCGTTAAAAAGCACAATGGCAACGCTAAGAAGAGTTGGAGGTCATAGAGCTGATTTCAGTTTCCATCACCCTTCAACCTCTCCATGCACACTCCTTTCCGAGGTGGGGGGCTGCTTGGCCGTATTTCACTTCCGCTTAAAATGTCCAAGCCCAGCCTGGCAAGTGCTCTGAGTAAAGGGACCCCAGAGCGCTCCCGCTAGGAATTCACGAGCCCAATCCCAGCGAGGCGTTTACCTATGTAACCGGGAAACTGAATGGAGGCCTTCTTTTATTTATCCAGAAAGGTAGGCTTTTTGGTCTGGGTGTCCAAAAGATGTCCAAGGACACCGATACGGGAAGAAGGGAAGGGGAAAAAGACAACAGGATTTCTTTGCATAATCTTTATTCATTTTAAATTTGACAGATTTCCAGAGATCAGCCACAGGATATTGGTGATTCTGATTCAAAACAGAGAAGAGCTCTTTTCAGAAAGTATTTCCTGTGGGACAAAAGCAGATGGATACCTTCTTTGGCCATTGGAGAAAAGTCTGGGATGGAATTTATGGAAAATTCACCATTCAATAAACTAATAAACCACAGTTAGCAGGTGCTTGTGAAAAGGAGAAATAGGATGTGGAAAGTAGTCAGAGCTGTCACCACAGCAGAGTCTGATTGTTCTGGCACTATTTGGTGTGTGGCGTGGGGGTGGAGAGTTTGGATTCCAGGAATCATGCTAGCATGCTAGTGGGTTTTGTGTTGGGGAGGCAGTGTTTCCAGGGTGGCACCAGCAGCCTTAGTAATAATTAACATCTGTACAGAGTGCTGTGGGTTGCAAAGAATGCACCTGTAGTGGCTCATTTAATTTTAGTTACTGGAATAGCTGGCTGTGCAACCTTAGGAAAGTCACCCAACTTCTCTGGGCCTCAGATTTCTCCCTTGTAAAATGGAAAGGCTACATAGATACTAAGTCCATGTCTCCTCTCTGGGGAGAGTAGATTCCCAGTGGGCCTAGTGACTCAAGGAGAGCTGACCCTCTATCTAAATGAGCCCCTTCCCTCAGCCACATAAATCCTATTGTGTAGGGCTTCCTAGGAACATATTTTCATGTGATAAACAAAGGTCACTCCAGGCATGAGATGTTGGTGAGTAAATAAATGGTAACTGAAGGTCCTCCACGTCAAAGCCACAGGATAACATTTAGCTGTTGCTGGTCTGAGAGCCTGGTTCTCCCCAGCATCAAAGGTTTTCCTTTGGGGTGAGACCCGAAGTCCCTCCCCGTCCGGGCTTTAAATCAGTCTCTGTGCTCATCCATTCCACAGAATTAGAGTGCATTATACAGTACCAACACGATGTCCACAGACTAATTTCAGAAGAAAGGAAGAAAATGGGCAACCACCATTTATTTCCATAACTTTCACCCAGTGAGCAAAATTCAGATTTCTGCACCTAAATATCACCCCCTCTCCTGAGGCTGTTTAGTTTCCAAGATCTCCTGGCTTTGAGAATATATTTCAGATAGAAGAGCAGGAAAAAAATGTATTCCTAGCCTTGGATCAGAAAGCATGGTGGTCTCTCCACAAGAGAAGCAAGGCCGCTGTCTTCCCCACACTCCTGCTCCCTGGTCTCCAACTAGTAAAGCTCTAGTCCACCAGTCACTTCCCACAAATGCAGCAACTTTCCCTGAGGTAGAGAGGACCAGACACTCCACTAGCTTTCAGGGAAACATTCTTGACTCCACTGGGTGGGGACACATCTGCTCCTGTGTATGAAGCCTGGGCAGCTGTGGGCAGCTGCGGCCCCTCACTGCTGTTCAGGATGAACATGTTGGGCTCCACTGTGGCCGATGGGGCTAAGCAGGCCATGGAGCCTGGGAAGGCCCCACGGAAAGGACACTGCAATCGATTTCCTTTCCATAGATGTTAGCTGAGCGGGGTGTGGCAGGGCAGGGTGGGGTTGTTGGGGTCAAACCACCCATTACTGAGCCTTCCTTTGTGTGGGGGGATGGCTGATTGGGTGCAGTGGCTGAAGAACTCCTTAATTAAGGAGAGACTGAATCGTTTTCCACAGCGCTGTAGATTGCCCAGCTGAACAATTTTATCAGACAAAATTCCCTTCCTTCTCACTCTTCCTTAATTATCCTGGGAATTCAGGTCAGTGAGAGTAAGGGGTTTCCTGTGCAGGGGAGGAGAGGGAGTCTGGAAGGGCTGCACTATTTGGATCATTTCCTTGATCTAAAAGGGATTCAGAAAGTAGACTTGCATGCTAAGGTGGATAGAGACGGCCTGCCCTATCTGGGTTACAAGGGTCACAGGCTCCCCAGTTTCCAGGAGCCACAAATATGGGGGAAAGCAGGGTCCCCCAAGCTGGAGCAAACACTGGGGACCTTTGAGCAGGGAGGGAGCCCTGTCAATGATCTGTGGATTCAAGGAGTGTCTGCCTGGAGGAGCAGCCCTCCCCTTCCGGTGCCTCCTGCTCCCCACCCCTTCTGTGCCCTGCCCTTGCCACCAGCTGAGACCCTGGAAGCCCTGACCCTCTCCGAGGAATGTGGTATGGCCTCCACACTGTCAGTAACAAAGAGACGTCCCTTTGATAACCAGTCGTGGCTGCCCCTCTAGTCTTCCTGACACTTTATTTACCTGTGTCTCTCTCTTCCCACCCTCTCCTGCCCTTAAAACCTGCTCTAGCTCTGGATCCATGGGGTCACAGCCCCAGCCCAACCCCAGCCCCAAGCTTCCCGAACAAGTTTGCCTTCTCCAGAGTGATTTGCTGAAGGCTTCTCTGGCAGGGCAGCCAGTTGAGGACCAGAGGTACTGGCTGGAAGGGATCCTTGGGCAGCAGAGGTGGAGACGACCATCTGAAGTGTTCTTGGCTCACGCCAAAAGGCTCTAAGAAAGCTGCCATGCACCTTGGGTCTAGGAAAGAGAAAGCTCTGCTTGGGGTCCTGACGCAGGTGGCACTTGCATCCTTTGAGGCCACACAGCTGCACCCAGAGGCCAGAGGAGCCGCCCCCTATCCAGAGCAGGCCCCCAGAGGATAGGCGCCTGACAAAGACCTGCCAGAGGGTAAGCCATCAGGACAAAAAGACACTCAGGCTCCCTTCCCATCAGCCACCTTCCACCCTCTTTGACTGCTCTCATCACTCTGCCCCTGCAGGGACCAAGATGGGCCTTCTCTTGGCTGAGAGGGCTACCCGGATGTGAGGGGACAGTCCCACTATGAGGAGCTTGTCCAAGGACATCATTATTGGCTCCTTTCCCCTCGCCAAAAAGCCCAGACCCCAGGACCATAGGTGGGGCCATGCTACGGGCCGGGGGTGCGGGGGTGGGGGGCATTTTTTCACAAAGGAAACCGATTGGTTTTCACCACGATTTCCTATCTCCAGCCCTTGCACCCCAAGTGAGCCCCAGGCTTCCCTGTGGTCTGGTCAGCTCTGGACCTGGCGTGACCCCTGGGGCCAAAGCAACCCTGGCTGCTCCCAAAGCATTTGGGCGGGCAGGCCAGAGCCCTTTCTCCAGGGCAGAGCATAGAGACACAGCTGGAAAACCGGGACAATTAGCCAGCGGCCGGCGGCTGGGCCATAAAAACGCAGGAAGCAGCCACCACAGGGCGGAGGGGATGGCTGTCCCCAATAAAGTGATTGTTCCAAAGAATGCCCACATTCCGAAGACACAGGCTCGAGCCTGGGCCTCAGCTTCCAGAGCTTGGGGCTTCGGAGGGGGTGTGGGGGACGGAAGAGGGATTGTGTCTCCAGGAAGAGGAGGAAGATGTTTGCTAGATCAAAAGTCCGAAGTGCCCACTACTTAACCTCCCACATTCCCACCCCATCAGGACTGCAGACGCCCCACTCCCCCAGTGATTTGCGTTCTGTCATGGGGTTTGCAATTTATTTCCTATTTTAATTCTGGAGAGGTCCGATAACAGCTGTCTGGGCTAGGCCTGGGAGGTCCACATGGAGGATGCGCTCTGGTCTTCCATCTCTTGTGTGCTCAGCTTGCTGCCCCCCACCCGACCCCAATTTTCACCTTCTTCCTTAGGACACGCAAGGCCGGGAGGCCCCAGCCAGCAGGAGGTCCTGTAGCCCGGAGCTAGTTCTGATCTGCTCCAGCTCGGCTTCTCTGCACTTCGCACCTTGTTGGGCGTCATCTGCAAAATGGAGAGGATGACAGCACTAGCTTTGTTCCCAATCCAGGGAAATGTTAGGATCAAGGGAGATAAAGGACACTGGAAAGAGCTCCAGGGATGACAAGATGAAGCGACAAATACCGGAGAGCGCTTGACAATGAGAACCGACAAGTGCAGATCTGGAGGAGAGCGCGAGCGCCCGCTGGTTCCGGGAGCGCTCAAAGCCACCCAGTCAGCCTGCCCAGCCCGCCGGACCGGCCGCTGGGATCCTCAAACCCTAGCCTGGCAGCGCCGTCCGGGCTCGGGGGGAAGGCAGACGGCAACCGCGAGCCCACTCCCTGCGGGCGCAGAACGGAGACGGGCGCGGGCGGGAGCCGAATCCTGTCGCCCCGCGCTCCTCTCGCGGCGGTTGCCGAAACAGGCCGCACAGCACGGGTCCCCACGGCCGCCACTTCCAGCCCCGGGCCCTTTGGACACAGTGCTTCAAAAACCACGGAGGATCCTGTCTCAACCCTTCCCCACTCGTAGATTTTCAGAAGCCGTCATTAGTAACGGCCCGTGGTTCCCTTCCCATCCCCTGGAGATGAAGAACAATTTTCTTCGGAGGATATCTTACTTTGTAAAAGAGAAAGTGTTAAGACGTATAAATACCTAGGTATATATTAGGAGAAATTCTAGGCCCCTTTTCCTTGATTTTTAACCACATATTTAAGTATAATAGACATATAAGTGTAGCTCGCTGGATTTTCACGAACACCACACCGTGCAACGAGCACCCTGCTCAAGAAACAGGACACTACCAGCACTCGACCGATCCCCTCCCGCTCCCTTCCCTCACTGCCCTCCCCTAGCTGGGCTTCCACCACGGTTCCTTGGTTTGTAAAAACTTTTGAGTCTTGAATGTAAGTGCTTAAAAAAATTAATTGCCTTAATTTAACTTAAATCCCAAATGTGAGATGAACTCGGAGATGCAGCTTGAAGCTAGGGTCATACTTTATCTCGTGCGGAGAACGAGTGGCTTCCTTGGGGAAGAAAATAAATGATTAGCGGTGACAGTTGTTCGGCGCGCGCAGTCGTTCTGGCCAGGGGCACAGAGCGGGAAGGGACCGGCCCGTCTCTTCTGGCTCCGCTCGTCACCTCGGGTTGGCCAGAAACCTTGTCACCAGAGCAATGGCTTCCCTTTTCTTTTCTCTTTGGGATGGAAGGAGCGTCTTGACCGCCCATCTCCCATCCGTGCCAACGCATAAACACAACTCCTTACTCTCCAAACCCAGATTGCACCAAGATAGCTCTTTCCCCCTCTCTTTTTCAAGTCTCTTGATTTCATTCTTTGAACCTGTGATTGGAGGTTAAAGTGCACAGGTTGGAAGGAGGAAGCTCTTAACAATAAAGGTTTGAATATTTAGTTGGGATAGGGTCTCTGCCCTCTCGCAAGCTCCCCCCTTATCTTTTAAAATGCAAATCGTGTTTCGGGGGGTTGTGCGCAGGGTGCGCGCTGCGCCTCGACGTCTCCAGCCATTGGTGTCTGTGTCATTACTAATAGAGTCTTGTAAACACTCGTTAATCACGTAAGGCCGCCGACCTGGGGCTCCGCACGCCAGCCTGTGGCGGGTCTTCCCCGCCTCTGCAGCCTAGTGGGAAGGAGGTGGGAGGAAAGAAGGAAGAAAGGGAGGGAGGGAGGGAGGGAGGAGGCAGGCCAGAGGGAGGAACCGCCTCATAGGCAGAAGCGCCGCGAGGAGCCAGCCGAGCACCGCGGGCTGGGGCGCAGCCACCCGCTGCTCCTCACGCCCCCTCGCCTCTTTCCCCTCGCGCCCCCCGGCAGTCTCCAGCGTCCGTCCCCAGGCAGCATGGTGAGGTTTGCTGTCGGGCCCTCGCCACCATGTACGTGAGCTACCTCCTGGATAAGGACATGAGCATGTACCCCAGCTCCGTGCGCCACTCTGGCGGCCTCAACCTGGCCCCGCAGAACTTCGTCAGTCCCCCGCAGTACCCGGACTACGGCGGCTATCATGTGGCGGCTGCGGCGGCCGCAGCCGCGAACTTGGAGAGCGCGCAGTCCCCGGGGCCGTCCTGGCCCGCCGCGTACGGCGCTCCGCTCCGAGAGGACTGGAACGGCTACGCGCCGGGAGGTGCGGCAGCCAACGCCGTGGCGCACGGCCTCAACGGGGGCTCTCCGGCCGCAGCCATGGGCTACAGCAGCCCGGCCGACTACCACCCGCACCACCACCCGCACCACCACCCGCACCACCCGGCCGCCGCGCCTTCCTGTGCCTCGGGGTTGCTGCAGACGCTCAACCCCGGCCCTCCTGGGCCAGCTGCCACCGCCGCCGCCGAGCAGCTGTCCCCCGGCGGCCAGCGGCGGAACCTGTGCGAGTGGATGCGGAAGCCCGCGCAGCCGTCTCTCGGAAGCCAAGGTAAGCGGCGGCGGCCCGCAGGAGGGCGCCCTGGGAAGGCGCGGACGGCCGCCGGCTGCTGGGCGGGCCGTGTGTCCAGGGCGTCCTGGGGCATCAAGGCTGTCTGGGAGCTCCGCGCCAGGAGGGGCGGGGCGGGGAGACAAATTCAGGGGGCTTTGGCCCTCGGGCCCTCTCTAGCTACTGCGCCTGGTCTGGTGGGGGTCGAGAGTGAATATTTTTCTTTCGATCTGTGTTCAGTTTAGGGCAGAGTAGAGGCTTCCTCTTTCCAAGGGCCCCTCATTCATAACGTCCGAGCACTCTCGGGAGACTCCCGGGAATGTCGGCGTAGCAGGGCTCTGCCCGAGCGGTATTGCGTCCTCCCCACTTGCTGCCTTTCGCATTCGGCGCGCAGCTTCGAGCCGCGGGAAATGGGGAGCCTGGAACTCCACCAGGCCCGGCTCTAGACCATTTCTCTCCACGCCCTCCTGCCCCGTCTGAGCCATTCAAGAAGAGTGGTAGCCCGGGGGGCCAGGAAGGCGGCGAGGCGGCGCTTGGGGCCAGGTTTGGCCATTCTGGCCAACTCAAGGGATCGAAGCTACAGCGAGTAGGGAGATCCGGCAAAGCTGCTGTAGCTGGAAAGAAGGTGTTGGCCCCAGGAGGTAAGGGGAAGGGGGCGCGCCCCGGTCTTGGAACCTTTGATCTGCAAAGGGGTTATTTCAATTAAAAGCTGGAGGGCTAAGGGCAAGAATCCCTGGGAGTCCTCTCGTGTCTGCAGAGGGAAAAAGGGAGGAAAACTTGCTGGGGGTTCAGCCGCTGCTCCAGACAGGAGCCTTTTCTCCGGAACCTTCCTTTCAAGGGTCTCGGGGTTGTGTGTTTGTGTGTGTGTGTACACGCGTGCATACGTTCAAGAAGTTTGCTCAGGAGATGTCCCTGCAAAGATCCCCCGCAGTCCGGTTTGCCGGACTATGGGGGCTCACTGGTTCCGGGTCTGCCCCTTCTGGTGTCAGGATGTATGTCAAGGTGGAAAGGAAGTGCAAATAAGTGTTGTGGGGAGAGTCCTGTTGGCGTCCCCTTTTTACTCCGTGAAGTCTTTTCCCAGTTCTCTGCACTTCCGCTTTTTTCTCTTCGCTCCTTTCTGGCCCAGCCCGGCCCGCATGCATGCAGGTTATGGTCACTTTGCAGCGGTTTATAGCCAATTACAGCCGTATAAATCAAGAGCAGCCGTTGGGGGCTGTCTCTGGGCATCGGTTTTTGCGTCACTGGGCACATGCCTGGGATCGTCCGGGTGGGAAATGCGGCCGCCTACGGAGAAGACCACAGGGCCAGCCTCGGAACCTCGGCTTGGTCCCTTCCCCAAGAGCAGGCGCCCTCGTCTGATGAGAGCACGCTCCCAAAGAAGGCTCTCTGCTACAGAGCCTGCTTGGGGCGCAACTGGCAGTGACTGGAACGGCCTACAGGAGACCTTTGGCGTGTCCCGGGAGAGTGGCCGCGGGGCAGGAGCCCGGGTCGGGGAAGTGGGGGGGGGGCATAGGAGCCCAGGCCGCGGGGTCAGCAGATGAGAGGACGCTGTGAAGTCCCGCGCGGAGGTGGCAAGGCCGCAGTCGGCGCCGGGCGCCTTGTGATGTTAATGTGGGGAGGCCGCAGCCCGCGGGCCGGAGCCCCACTCCTCTGCGGAGCGTCATCTGTCAAGGGGCGAGGGGGGCTGGTACTTGGCCCGGCCTGCTTTGATATACACCTTCCCAGCCCTGCCATTGTCTCTTTTAGGGCCCGGAAAGAGGGTGGTGACTTTCACAGTCAATAATGAATTCTGACAAGTCCCTCTCATCTCTCCCCTCCTCCAGCCCCCTCCTCGGTTCCCAGGGGGTGCGGGGCACCTCCATGACCCTTGGGGCGTAGGCTGCAGAACACACAGGGGTCCTGGTCACAGCGTTCCCCGGCCCGTCCAGGATACTGAAGGGGCAGCACCCAAGAAATAGCTGCTCCTAAGCACCCCAAGGCGAGTATCGCTACTGGGGAGTTCGGCTCCGAGAAGTCCTTAGCGCCGCTCCGCAGCCCTGGAGGTGTCCTTTGTGGCTCCAGTGCCAGCCTCGCCTTGTACGATTTGCGAGACCTAGTCGATTCTCAGTCTCCTCGTCTGTAAAAAGGGGTGACTCTCTCTGCAGCCTCGAGCGGTCTGAGGCGGTGACGCGTGTAACGCGCCCACTCCTGGAAGGCTCTCGGACGTGTTAGTTGACTGTACTTTCTCAGGCGCGGGTTCGGGCCGCTGCGCCCATTCAGATGCGCCTGCCGGCCGTGTTTATGTTAATGCGCCTGGCGGGGAGGGGGATGAAAGCTGGGGCCGCCATTTGCTCAGTAGTGGTAATTCAAACAGAATGCGGTTGTTATTAAGGCATTGAAAGGGCTTTTCTTTGATAAGATCGCCTTGTCCTGCATTGTTTGCAACTGTGTTCCCCTTTCAGCGGCTCGGGGGAGCTCCCTCTGATCCGGCCTGTATCTTCCCAGGGCGCTTTTGTTGTGGTTTGCAAAGGGTTTTACCTGAACAAAGTCGGCCTGCGGGGCATTAAACACCTCCAACGACTCCCAGACCCTTCAGATCTTCCTGTAGGACTGGGCACTGGGCAATTGAACCTGTTTTGCTGCAACAAGACCCTGACCGGGGGCCACCGGGAGAGAACATCTCCTGGCCTGGGTTCTGCCAAGGGACTGCCCCGGCGCAGCCGCCAGGCTGGGCCTCCCCGGCTGCGTCGGCACTATTTGTCAAGGCTCTTAAGTAAAACAATCAATCCGAGGTTTAATATGTTGACTCAATCCAATGAGCATAGATCACCGGTCAGGATAGCTCTGGCAGGGTTTGCAGCAGAAATGGATGGGGGGATTCAAAAAGAAAAAGTGCCAAATGCCAAACCAGGTTCGGCCCGGTATACCATGTCCCCAGTGTGTGTGTGGTGGTGGTGGTTGTGGTGGTGGGGTGGTTCTGCCTGCCAGACCCCAGCTCAGAATTCCACCAAATGGGCCTGGTGTGCCTGGGGGATGATTCTGGTGACTTGAGGGAACCTGTCAGCCCCTGCACCCCTTTTCCACTTCTAATAAAGCAAACAGAAAGTAACACCCCCCTCCGACGAACCAACGTATACCCACAGTCCCAGCTGCCTTCGGGCCATCTTCCATCTCTGGTAGTCCTGGAAATCTGTATATGTCCGGGACTCAGACCTTCCCCCTTTCCCTTTGGGCCTAGCTGGCTTCAGTACTATTTTGGTGTACCAAAAGGGTATCTAGGTTCTGCTATCTTCTGTGTGTAGGAGGTTTTAGTTTTTCTTAATTCTAAAAAACCACTTAACCCCAAGGTTGATTTAGTTGTCAGGAATAGCCCCACACCTTCCTCCCAGGACCCTCTGGGGGGTCTTGTCAGACCGGGCAGGAACCAACCAAACCGCGGCCCCCCAGGGTGGTGGAGGAAGAGAAATGGCCCTTGGGTTAGGGAGGTTTGTCATTACCCATGACTGATGGGCCTCCTTGCGGTGCTCAGCCCTAACTTCTCCTTCCTCCACAGTGAAAACCAGGACGAAAGACAAATACCGAGTTGTGTACACGGACCACCAGCGGCTGGAGCTGGAGAAGGAATTTCACTATAGTCGCTACATCACTATCCGGAGGAAGGCGGAGCTGGCCGCCACGCTGGGGCTCTCCGAGAGGCAGGTGGGCACCGCCTCACTCCCTCTGGGGCCTGGTCACCGTTTGGGGGGGGTCCTGCCGGGAGAGTTAGAAGCCAGGCCCCAGAACCCACCTAGTTCTGTGGGCAGATTAAAGCAAGAGGATGGAGAGCATTTGCCTTCTGAATGCTTTTTTACAAAGCCTCCTTCTGCCTCTTTTTTTGATGTTGAATATTTTTTTCTATTTTGGGGGATCCGGGAGGTACGGAGTATTAGTTTAATCCAGAATTCTATTTGGGTCAATAAAGACTTAAAGATCTTTTCTCTTTGTGCCCAGCACTGTACCTGGGGAAAGAATTAATATAAAACCCCAATTCCTGCCCATGAAAACTAGAGGGGTGAGGCTTGGCTCATGAACACTCTACACGGTCTAGAAAAAACAGGCCAAATTCACAGCTAGGAAGCACCACAGTAAGTCTCATTCTCAGCTCCAGGGTGAGGAATATTACATTTCAGTTTAGCTTTGAGAGGCCAAAGGTTGCCATTCTGAAGTACCTCCGGCACTGGCCTCCTCTTGCTTGGTGTGGAAAGGGCCTTACACTTTCTGTTTCCCTTGGTTCTGAGACTGAACTTTTCCAGTAAAGTTGTAGATAAAGTTGCTTTGGAAAGAAACCTGGGGAACAAGGAAGGAGGAAAGCTCTTCTCTCATGAGGCTGAGTTGGGCTTGGGAAGGGCTCCAGCGCTGGGCTGTGGTGGGGATACCCAATGGAAGGCTGTTGGAAGGCTTTCGGGTCCTCTATCTTTAGTTGGAGAGGGAGATATTGGTGCTAGTGCTGAATGCTGTTCCTTTTTTCCCTCACTTCTTCACCACTTTCTGTTTTTCTCCGCTTCCCCTGTCTAGGTTAAAATTTGGTTTCAGAACCGCAGAGCGAAGGAAAGGAAAATCAACAAGAAGAAGTTGCAGCAGCAGCAGCAGCAGCAGCAACAGCAGCCGCCGCCGCCTGCGCCACAACCTGCCCAGCCACAGCCAGGTCCTCTGAGAAGTGTCCCGGAGCCCCTGAGTCCTGTGTCTTCCCTGCAAGGCTCAGTGCCTGGCTCTGTCCCGGGGGTTCTGGGACCAACTGGGGGGGTGTTAAACCCCACTGTCACCCAGTGACCTACAGTGGCCTGCAGCAGCAGAGCAATTCCAGGCTGAGCCATGAGGAGCATGGACTCTGCTAGAATCTTCAGGAGAAACCGCTCCCCTCCCAGCCACAAATGTACACCAACTTACCTAGCTCTCAGAGAAAAAATGGGGGCCGGGATAAAGACAAGTGGGGTTGGAGGCCTCAAGGAAGACATTCTCCCAGATTTTGACTTTTTCTGGTCTGACTCTTTCTGCCTATGAGGAGATGGGAAATGACCGGGGCTTCTTTGGTACTGGCAGAAGCATTGCCTAGACTGACTAAACACACCAGGCGTTCAACCCCCTCCTCCCTAGCTCTTTGCCTCCAAAATCTGCAGGATGCATCTCCGGTTGGAGCTGAGGGGAGAGGGACTCAAGGGAACGCCAGTCCTTGGAGCCAAGATGGCTACTGCCCACTCACTGCGTCGAAGGACCAGCTGGCTCCTCCTGCCTCAAGGGCAGGCAAGATTTAAACTGCAGAAGCCAGAGGCAGCTAAGATAGAAATCTGGACTGGCCAAGGACTGCAGAACCCCCAGATCTTTGTCTTTCTTCTCTTCCCTTCCCAGACCAGGAAAGGCTTGGCTGGTGTATGTGCCCTGTATGGTGTGAGGGGGGTGGTTATTGGATTCCAGGCCTGACAAGGGGGCCCGGGACAGGGCCTTGTTTAGAAAGCCTGTCACCAGTGCTTCTCTGGGCTGAATGTATGTCAGTGCTATAAATGCCAGAGCCAACCTGGACTTCCTGTCATTTTCTCAATCTTGGGGCTGATGAAGAAGGGGAGTTTTTGTTGTTGTTGTTGCTGCTGTTTGGGTTGTTGGTCTGTGTAACATCCAAGCCAGCATTTAAAAAGCCTCTGGATCCATGGGGAGAGAAGTGGTATGGTAAAGGGAAGTGGGGAGTATTTGAACATAGCTGAATTTTTTCTAAAAAGAAAAAAAAGAGACAAATGAGCTTTCCAGATTTCAGATTCTGTATTTATTGTCTTCAGATTTTGTCTGGAATTATTTTTTTTAAGAAATGAACTATCTTCTCTACTTGCAAGCTAGAATTAAAAAAATCAGGGAGGGGACGAAGAAGGTTATCTAGACAACCTCATTTTACCCCAGAGCGTCAGAAGCCTGAGGGAGCAGGTTCTGAGACCTTCCCTGCCCCCAAGCCTGAGCCCAGCCTTGGACTGTGGAATGTGTGGTTCTCCTGGGGGTGCCTTTGGGCAAAATGCACATCTGAATGGTCAGCTGCTTCCCAGCTGCCGGGGGAATTATGGGGGGTGGGGGTGAGAGAGCCCCCTCACAGCATCTCCTCAAATCCACACTGAGGAGATTGCAAACTTTCCCTTCAGCAGTGATTCCCTCCTCCCTAGGGATGCCCCACAATCCAGCGAGTTAAACATAAGCATTAAGTAAAAATATTTTATTTTCTGTTTTCTCAAGGCCACAGTTCCATGAACGTAGTCTTCTATAAATCGCTGGGCGTTTCCGTGAGCCCTTTCTGCTTCCACCCTTTGCCCTGTCCCTCGCCCTTTCCTTGTCCCATCCCCTCCCGCCCACCTACCCCCACAGACAAGAATTCAAGGGCCAGTACAGGGAGATCCTTTTAGTGATGGTTGCTTGTTGTCTGGCTGATCCGCTGGGGACCGGGCTGCTGCCCTTGAGGTTTTTGGTCCTGGAAGCCGCCGAGGTGGACGCTGTCGTCAGGGCTCAAGGAGAGAGGGCTTTGCCCTCCATTTCCGTCTCCCCACAAGCGCCTTTGAGCCCTAATCAGCGCCTCAGCAGAGCGAGGAGGTGCCCCGAGGGCTGCGGAGGATGAGCGAAGCTGCGAGGCACAAACGCCGCCTGCAGCCTCTCCCGGATTCCGCGGCCTTCCGCGTGGCGCGTCACGCCGGGGCTTGAGACAGGGGCCCTGATGCTGCGCCCCGGGCGCCCGGCCTCTGCGCTGGAGGGAGAGGGCCCGGCCCGCCTCTCGCGGCCGGAGGCTGCCCCCGAGGGGAAGCCGTGTTGGGTCCGCTGAGGAGCGGGTCCCGATTCACGACTGCTGTGATCCCTCTGTCCCCTTTGGGGTGTCCGGGCGCCGGGAGGGGAGCGCGCACCCCGCGCCCGGCCGCGCCCACCGGCCCGCCCCCAGCTGCTGCCGCGGTTGCTATGCGTTGCTGTGAAACGCCTGTCAATAAACCCTGTTTGGACAGTGGAGCGAGAGCACAAGGGTTGTTTGCTTAGTGGTTAGAGGTTCAAAAGTCGGCATTGTCCTGCTGCAAGCGATTACAAGTCCTTCCCCTTCCCGGGGCTCGGCCCCCTGCACTGCCGCCCGCCGCGGGCCCGCGCGCGCGCGCGCATCTGGGGCGAGGAGGGGCGGTGGGCTTACCTCTGAAATGCAAGGACCCGGACCTGGGCTGCGAGCTGCCGGGCGATCTCCCAGGCCACGGAAACGGCAAGAAATGAGGGCCCTCGCCGGCAAGTGAGGCCACCGCACTGCCCACGCCAAGACACCACCCCTGGAGCAAGCCTGAGGGGACACGGGGACATGGCGCGAGTGGGCAGCGCAGCCTGAGGAGGCTTGGGAGGTCGGCGCCGGGACGCCCGGGTTGATTTTTGACAGGATGACTTCGGGGCTCCGAGCGGCCCCCGCACTGGGCGCTTGGTGTGGGTCCCCGGCAATCACTCGGCCCTTCCGGCGCCCAGTCCTTGGTTCGGCCGCCAGGGGGCGCGCGCGCTCTGGGAAGAGCTGGGGCAAGAGCCCGCGCTCCTCGTTACCGCTGGGGCCGACCGGGAAGGGGACATAGTTCTCACCCAGCTGGAAGGCTGCAAGCTCCAGCCTCTCCCACCTCGGCTGCTCCCAAAATGGGACAGGGCGAAATTTCCCCACCAGGACCATGGGCCTGTTGAGACTAAGTTCAAAGTAAGGCGCAGGAGATTCTTGGATCTGTCGAACGTTTAAGAAAAACAAATTTGGGGGAGGGGAGCTATCCACCATTCTAAAAGGGTGTTTTTGCACAAGATGTTTCTTCTAAAAAATTACAGAACTATGGTGGCCGGCTCGGTGGCGCAGCGGTCAAGTTCCCACGTGCCGCTTCGGCGGCCCGGCGTTTGCGCGTTCGGAACCTAGGCGCGGCGATTCTCACCGCTCATCAAGCCATGCCAAGGTGGCATCCCATAAAGAAGAACTGCAACTCTACAACTATGATACACAACTATGTACTGAGGCTTTGGGGATAAAAAAAAAAAAAAAAAGAGGAAGATTGGCAACAGATGTTAGTGCAGGGTCAATCTTCCTCAAAAAAAAAATTACAGTAATATGGGTGCAATATTAATGTATGGAAAGACTGAGAACTTAGGACAAATATGGGGAAAAAATGTACCAGTATTGTGGAACTCATGTCGAAAAAGGTATATGTGGAGGAAAAACAGCCTGTTTTTTTTTTTCCATAAGCAATTCATGGCTTTATTATGCTCATCCAATAAAATTAACAAGATGGACTGGTAATGAAAGCAATGAAAGTTTCAACGAGTTTCACTTCTTTCTGATAATGTCTAGGAAGATGCCCTCATAGTCAAGAAAACTAATCTTAAGCAGAAATCTAAATATATAAACAGCAATATTCTTGCTGTTGTTATTCACAACCACTCAGAAAAAAATAAGAAGGCAACAAGCAGAAATAAAGAAATCTTAGCTACAGAATCTTAAGAAGAGATTTTATGTTTTATAGGGGCACTATTTTTACCTCGTTTTAGAGACAGGCTACTATTTCCCAGTATAATGACCTTGGGGAGATCACAACCTCTGGGCCACCACTTCCTCATCCCTAACATGGGGATCAAATGAGGTAATGTAAGTGAATGCAAGCTACAGCAAACACTGATGATTAGACCCCAATAATGTAATGGACTGCTGCTTCTTTTTATCAAGAACTATCTTGTGCAAAGTGATCTAGGATCCTTACAAAGAGCCTTTGAACAAGAATAATTGCTCAAGTCACAATAGAATAACCCCTTCCCAGAAGTTTTTCCTAATGCATTCAGCTTTGCTTACTTTGTCAAAATAGCCTCAAGTCTGTTGTCTCCTGATTTCCACTGCCCAGACATCTGCATAAAATCTCAAGTGTCAAAGCACGAACTAACATTCCAGAGGCGAAGCCGAGTTAGTGATACACGTAGCTCACTTGCCCTTTCATCTACCAGAAAGGATACACCCAAACGCTTCTAGCTGTATTTAGGAGACTCAGATTAGTTGAGGACATAGTCAGGAACCTCTTTATATGTAATCCATTGGCTCACTTTTAACCAAAAGAGGCAGAGAGGCAGATACTCTAACTAGATAGCATTAAAAGTTTCCTATCTTGAAACAATTTTCATCCCAACATCTCAATATCAATTCTGTACTCTTCCGAGAGAGACCCCAAAAAGCTGCTGTGGATTTAATTCTTCAAAGCGTATTCAGCCCTGGAAGTCATTTTAAGGTAAACATTTTACTCTAGTCCCCATGATCTTCCCTTACATTGAAACTACAGCAACAGGTCTTGTGTTAAATTAGTTTTGCTTTGAAGGATAAGGAAAACATTCATAGCTAAATAATGTAGATTAACTTGTAAATATTTAAAATTAACATTTAAATTATTTTCCTAAATCACGTTTAGACTATACAAACTTCCAACCCCTATAATTCTTACATTTTCCTTTAACCTCCTACCCTTCTTCAGAAGGATGACTATGATTTCAGGAAACCAGGCAGATTTTATTGATAACTGTGGGACGAGGGCCCAATCACTAAATGTCTTGTTTACTTAGCAACAAACCAGAAGGAATATATGCTTCTCATATCGTTACTTTCTTGAAGGTTATGAAATTAGATCTAGGAAATAAACCTCTCAAATTTCGAATCAGGAGAGTAGAATCTGTCAGTTCCAGAGCTATACCAGCATTTACCTTCACATTCTTTTTGGAAGAACCAGTTTAGAGAAGGTGGGGACCGCACACAGGTGACCTTTTGGCTACCAAATGTTACATTTGTTTTAACAACAGCTTTTCCAAATTGGAATTTGTCATTAACCTCAGTGGATATAGATAATATCAACTAAATTGCCAGAGCCCCAAAGTTAAATGACTAGTTTGTTCTGCTTTCTGCAGGATCCTGGCGATTCTGTGCTAGAGATCTAATCCATAAACCAGAACACAACCAATTTTGATTCGTGAAGAAGAATTTCCTGAGATTACATGATAAACAAACCGTCCCTTCACATTCACACACTTTTACGTAAAAAATAATATTCAGGTCACATATTAGGTTTATGTGTCTGATATTTTATTGGTAAATAGGACCCCAGGCATGTCACGAATTTCAGTATTTGCGTTTTAATTTCTAGGAAAGGAATCCTTTTCTAATTGTTCACGTGTTATCTCAGAACTTTCAGGATTGACAGTCTGCTATCATAACACATTGTATCTGCAGTATGACAATAATAGGTTTTACACAAGTAGGAGTTGATAAATTCCTCTCCAACCTCAGAAAAGCAAACAATGTAAAACAATGTAGGAGCTAAAGTCATTGTAGTACAAACATACAATTGCTTGTTGTGTGGCACTTAAATAATTATAACTTATTGACGATTCGTTGACTCAGTGACAAAGATTAAGTACCTAAACCACAGATAGGAGTTGTTAAAAATGACCTGGGCAGGCTCTTTTACTCATGAAAGACACTTAGTGTGTTGTTCTTTCACTCTGTGTATCTAATGTATTAAAAACAACAACTACAACAAAACTCAACAGGTTCTATTTTCAACCCCACTCTCCCTTTTCTGGGCAGAATTATGGTAGAGTGAATGTGTATTGCCAGAAACAGAAGAAAGACATAATTAAGCAAGAACCAGGGACCGTTGTCCAATAAGTAGCAATACAGAAGCATGCAAGAACAAAAAGAGACTGCCTGGAAGCCACACGTATAAAAAATTAAAATGTAATTTTTTTCCCCTCAAATCACTTTATTAGAAATAATGCAGGGCGGGCCCTGTGGCTTAGCGGTTAAGTGCGGCGCTCCGCT